TTCCTCCCTAATGTGATTATTTTCCCAGCAGAGAGGGTTCAGGTAATGAAAGGTCCAGACCTCTGCTCCTCTGTTCACACTGACTGCAGCTGTTCCCTCGCCGACCCCCTAACTCATTAAGCTTCCTGTCCTAATAACAACAATAACAGCTTCCACTGTATATATGTCACTGCTGTTTGTCTCTGTGTTTCAAAGCTGTGCTGTAAAGTGCTCTCCGAGGCAAATAATGAAACAAAATGTACAATATCGGAAAATAGACCGAACTGTAACATTTAGCACTTATGAATATCAGGTGGTGTAGGTGTGATGCAGGGCAGCATCAGCACTGAATGTAATGCTCCACTGAGTGTTGACCTTTTCTCCAATCAATTTCATTGTTCGAGGAAAATAATATTGTATTATCCGGATACATAATTATGCTGAAATTCTCAGTCTGCCTGGTAGATTAACCCCGCAGCTGCCAAGGCAATAATTTGATGTTGTAAATAAACGCTATTTTGTGTCCATCTTATAATATTATGCTGTTTTTATAGCTGTTATAGCTTTTCACAGACATGAAATGCAACATCCTCATTTTGAATCTGAGTGTCATTTCCCTTTTCTCCCCTTGTTATCCTGTCATCTCTCGACTGTCAGAATCTCTAATAAAGACACAAAAATTCATACAAAAAATCTACATGAATCAAATCTTCAAGCAAACTTTTGTTAGACTTTTTTTTTTACTTTTTTGCCTTCAGTGAGAGGACAATTTGAAGCATTAAAGGGGGAGAGGGCGTGCAACAAAGGGCTGCAGGTGGTAATAGAACACACAGCTGCTGCGGCAAAGACATTGTTTTTGTATATGGGGTGCCCACCTTATCTACATAGCTACAGCGCACCCCAAGTGCAGCGCATCTGAATGAAGATTTGAACATCTTCCTTTTAAAAAAACAATGTTTTTGTGAAACAACGATCAATTTCTAAGTTACTGCAAAACCTCACCTCAGTGAATTCAAGACTTGCCACAAGTTGGTTTGCTTATACCGAAGTTAGCCCACTACAATGGCTGCAAAAGCAATCGTACACATAAAAATGGCTGCTGCTCTGACCATCCTACTCTGTTGACTTGAATAGGAATGTCTGTTCTATTCTCTTCCTATTTCTATGGGTCTGACAGACGAATGACTGCAGAGGAGGACTTTGTTGCAGCAGTATTAATTGTAAGTCATTAGGAATGTTGGGAGTTCCTGATAAGATAACTTTTGGCTGCAGCATGACAGCTCATGGTTTAATTTATGGAAACAGATTTAAGAGAGATCCCAAAACACAAACTGTAATGACTTAAAAAAACATTAATTAGTGTTTAACTAGGAGAGACACTCCATCATCCAGCCTTCTATCCCATCTGAAATCCACCTCTAGGTTTGTGCCTTTAGGGTTTGGCCACATGGATCAGTCTTAAAATTATCACAATTTCTAATTGACATATTTGACTTTGGCCTATTAAACTGACACAGGAGAGGGAGGGAGATGTCAACGCAACAGTCTGTGCATGTCCAGTCCTGAGAGGAGGAGATCTTATCAGTCAGAATAGCTGAGCGTGTCGGGTATAAGAAAACATCTACACTGCCATGGGTGCATCATGATCATGCCAGTGGCAAGTGATGGATAAGAAAACGATTTGCCTCAAACAGGACTGTGCTAGTAGGTGAGAGCTGTATGGAAGGCTCCAGGTGTGCTGGAGGTGAGCAAGTGGATAGCAATACCTCAACTAAGGGTCACTACTGTACTGTTAAAGAGTTAAATTCTATATAGTAGATTGTCAGTAATGCTAGAAAAGAGCAACATAAATGCTAAACTGTCGCTCTAATGCAGCTACTAGAGCTAATTTTAGATGATTACTAAATCGTTTCAATTATAGACCTTCCTCTGCTTATTCTCCCTCCGTGCAGGTCTCCCAGCATCATACCAGCTTCACCCACATTTCTCCATATGGGAAACTTTTCCCTGTTTATTTTTGAGCAGCCCAGTTTAAATGTGACCTATATTCCCTAAAGGTGCAGAATTAAAGGGGCAGTGTCAAGGTTATTTAAAGGGATATTGTTCCAACGTTTAGTGCAGCAGGGGAACAAGGCTGCTCTGTCACTTCTTTTTGTGGGTGCGCTTGTTTATGAATGAGTGAGTGTTCACTTGTGTGTGACAGAGCAAGTGCCTGCATGATTACTGAGTGCATGTACGCACACACCTTGTTGAGCAGCGGCTGTCAGTTGTTTTATGCTGCAGTGAGCTCTGATATGATGTCAGGAGAGTTAACAGCACCTTTAATGTCAAAAAATCAAAACGTCTATTGTGAAAATTAACTTTTATGCCTCTAAGCCTTCCTCCTGGCGCACTGTTCGTACTTTACAAAACTCAACACGGTTCACAGTTGGGTTTCAAAACATCAGCAGTTTTTTATGTGCCATGTGCTTCTGTTAGTTTACCCACCATCTGTGTGTCTGCCCCCTCTCAGTGTGTGAGTATGAGTGTGTGCTCCACTTGGTTTCATTAGACAGCTGCATGTGTCCCAGACTTTCACACACTCTGGGTTAATGCATGTGTGAGGGTGTGAGTTTTACCTAAACTTGACTTGTTTGAACAGTATTAAAGAATATCCCAGAGTATATACACATTAACGGTGATTCCCATGACTCTTACCCTCAATGTAATCCTGTACCATAGGTGTAGATTTTGGGGAGGATGTGTATCCATGTACATTTGTCCCCTTAACTAAAGAATGAAAGTAGCAGAAGACTTTTATTTTGAAAGAATTAAAGACATTTACACTGTAAATTAGTGCAAAACATCACTTAAATGCAAGAAATTGAGGGATTGATGCTCAAATTTTTTTGGCAGAGGACCCCAAAACCCCCGTTTTAATGTGCCACCACCCACTGTAAGAACTAAACCTTTGCCCTTGGCTTGTTTACCCTCAACACCCTCTCTTCTACTTACCCTCACTTAACTCCACAGCGATAGACACGACTACCAGCACTGGAGCTTGTTGTCGTGTCATAAAGCCAAAGAAATAAAACATGCCTTTTTAGCACGTCCAATCCTATTTGTTAATGCCTGGGTGTAAGTACTTTTGGAGAGCTATCTACAGACAACTGGCGTCTCGCTAAAACACAAATTGCTGACTTTTACCCATCAAAATTGAACTACACACTAAAATGTTTAAAACCATTTGCACTCTTGGCCTTATAAAGTCTAAACTAAACATTATAATGTTTTATATGAGTGCTGGTGCTGGTAGCTGGCGTGCAAAGACAGCCAAAAAGGCTTTAATTTCTTTAATGTTGATATTAAAAGATATTGAATTCAGCTCTGTGTTTATTATCCCAGTCGTGTCTTTATTGTCGCAACTGGACTGATTTAATCTGCGGTGACATGTTTTTAAAGAAGCTTCAAGGTAACTTCCAGGAATTCAACCTGTAAATCTATTTTTGTGTTTGTTGTTAATTAAATTAAGTTATTTCTGTCACTGCGTCTGTCTCGGAAGCCTCCAAGCTGAGTTTACTTGTGTATTAAATTGCTTCCAACCAATCCATCTGTGTATGTGTGTGTGCTTTTTGTACTGCTCTGTGCATGTTTGCTCAAGACCAGGGTGACTCATATTGTGTGTTTGTGTGTGTTATAACCAGTGAAATCAGAGCACCATGCTGTCCCAGGCTTCCAGAACATCGTCTCTCAGCTCAGTGACTCATCTCATCCAGACTGAGGATGAATCTATCAGTGCTCGTTCCCATTGACTGACTCTTCATGCCATCCACACAGTCTGGGCTGTGTGGTGTCTGACTTTGAGAGATAGTCTGCGGTAGAACTGAAAGAGTCAATTAAAATGATTAATCCACAGCTATTTTGATAATCGCTTGAGTCATTTTTTTTATGCAAAAATGGCAATTTGCTGCTTTGCTTTGTTTAATATCACTGTAAACTGAATAGTTTCATGCCTCTTTGCTGGCAACAGCTGTCCTGTTTTCGGATTGTCCATCTTTCTCATTCTCGTAAACGTGATATCTTAAGAATGCAATGAGTAAATTTCTTCAAATTTAGCACAAACATCCATTTGAGCTCAATGATGAACTGATGAGATTTTAGTGGTCACTGTGACCTCACAAAACGTGGCCATATATCGAGAATTCATATGTTAATTATGACAAAATTTCACACAAATGTCTGGTAGGATAAAACAGAGAAGTGATGACATTTTATATCCAAAGGTCAAAGGTCAGCTTCACTGTGATGTCATAATGTCCTGCAAAACCACCTCAGGAACAGAAGGGGAGACATTTGGTGACACTAATCTTGGGTATCTTGAAACTGCGCTGATTTAATAGATCTTCTGTGTTGCTGGGTTGAAGATGTGTGTGAAGCATCCGCATTTGAGAATATGTAGCTTCTTTGCAGCCGTATTTGAAGTGTTGTCTACCGTCGTGGTTACATATGAGGCTGGACAGACATGGATGTGAACTTTAACTGCAGCTTGACTGGTTTGCAGAGGCATAAAACCACAAGGTGGTAATTCTAGTTTTGGATTTTGGACTGTTTGTGAGACATTTGAAGAGGTCACCTTGGACTTTACAGACAGACTACTACAGACTATTTCCAGGTCTGATGCTTAAAAATAAAGTCATCAGTCTTGCAGAAACCTCAACTTTTCACTCACATTGTCAGATCAGTATACCCACAAATGCTAACTGAATCATGTCTTTCCAAAACTTCAGCTTTTCCTGAGTCACTTTTGTGAACATGCGTTATTGTCAGTTAATCCAGTGGGCTTTGAAATGGTTTATTTAGCTCAAGATGTAGGAGGATTGTCTCACCCACAAAGGTAAAACTTTCAAGTCACTAAACCTGGAGACACATGAAAAGTACCACAGTGTATGACTTCATTTGGAGTGGTAACTGTCCCATGGAAACTGTTATTTTACTGAATAAAATAACCATTTCTGTCTCCATGTGTCTCTCTGTGTGTCTAGCCTTTCTCAGGTGACCAGATGGACGACTTCAGCAGTGAATTATTCAGCAGTTTCTTTGACGACCATCTATTAGAGCGGCCCCTTCTGGCAGACAGACCTTCCCCTTTACACATGGACATGGACGACAGCAGCCCAGGTCAGCTCCTTTTTTATTATGAGAAGTTATCAACACAGCTCCTCGCAGTGTTAAAATAAAAGAGCACATTGTAAGGATAGTACAAAAAGTCCTATGCAAATGCACCAGTGGTTGGATCACAGTGGTTGTTCCTTCCAATAACATTTTTCCAGAATTCCCATTTTTTGCCAATGTAACGATAAAAATCTCATAGCAGGTAAATCTTGGTTGGTGGAAACTTTTCCAATGTCCAACCACTGTCTTGGAGATGTTTGCCTTGAAATGCTTTCAGGCCCAAAAATAATAAAGTTTTCCTCTGCGGAGGTAATAGTCACATTTGGATGACCTTGTTTCTCCGGTTAACCTCCAGCAGTGCAGCAGCCAGTTGTTCCACTCCTCAGCCAACGTCTGTGTAGAAAAGACCCCAATCCCATTATTTGGTTGGATTCAGAAGCCAAAAGCTCTGGCTCAGTCTTCCCCAGAGAGGTCAAATTCCACTATATGAGAGCCAGTTTCTGTTGCCAACGTCTGTGACTTCCAAAACTCCTGCCAGACGGAAACACACAAGACTCCTACTCCTCACCTAGCAGGTGCTGGGTCTGTAAAGAGAAGGCATGAACTAGAGCTTTGACTCTCTGCTGTAACCCAATTGGGCCTGATCTCACCGACGGGCTTGGCCCCGGGCTGGCAGTAATTTCTTAAAATTCCTCGGGCTTGAATCAGGTCAGGTTTACTCCAATTTCCCTGTGTGTTTTTTTAATTCAGACCTTGTAGTCTGTATACTGTCATAAGTAATGTAGGGTTTTGTTTCCATCAGCCCATCCGGACTCCTGCCTCTCATTAATGAGGAGAAATATTACATAATACAATCTCTTTTTAATATAGATGGCATATGGTGTTCAGCATGAGACGGTGCATGTTGGAGATCGTGTCACAAATGTCCCAGTGAAAAGACTTTAGTGGAGTTTGATTTTTAGTAAATGTTTTCATATAAAAACCTCATGCCCCAAACTGCCACCATGGTTCAGGCTCAGGTAGAGCTTGGTCAGAAACTATGCAGGTTTATGTAGGGTCGGGCCCAGTCATTGCTCAAGCTGGCTGAGCTTCCATGAGGCACTCCTCTGCACACTAAGCTGTGTAAATAGGCCTTGGTTTCCCTGCTCAGTTATTGTACTGTAGGTTCTTCAGTCTGTTGAAGCTGTCACATGGATCTGCTTGCAGCACTACATGTCACACTCATCACTTGAGACAGGCGTTGCCATGTCCACTGAGACTTGAAGAAAATGACAGTAGAAAGGGATTAAAAAAAACTTGAGTTTTGTATTTTAGGACAGTGATTTCAAAGTGGCCCTGGGCAAAGTGGAGGAAAGATGAGGGAACATGCTTTAAAAAATAGAAAATAAAACAGAATTATTATTTTGAGTATTTTTTTTTTTTTTATAAAATATGATTTATGATAACATATAACATGTGAAATTCTTATTTGCCATGCCCAGCTTTCTTATTGCCTACCAGTCAAAACATCATTAATCATGTCATTAGCTGTTTGTATTGAACAGTCTGCGCCATGCCAAGCTTCCTCTGCTTCTGAAATTTAGGATGGAAATCTAGGACAGGACAGGACAGGACAGGATAGGATAAGCTAGGATAGGATAGGATGGGATAGGACAGGACAGGACAGGACAGGACAGGATAGGATAGGACAGGACAGGACAGGACAGGATAGGATAGGATAGGACAGGACAGGACAGGATAGGATAGAATAGGATAGGATAGGACAGGACAGGATAGGATAAGCTAGGATAGGATAGGATGGGATAGGAGAGGACAGGACAGGATAGGATGGGATAGGACAGGACAGGATAGGATATGATAAGCTAGGATAGGACAGGATAGGACAGGACAGGATAGGATATGATAAGCTAGGATAGGATAGGATGGGATAGGACAGGATAGGATAGAACAGGATATGATAGGATAGGATAGGACAGGACAGGACAGGACAGGATAGGATAAGCTAGGATAGGATAGGATGGGATAGGACAGGATAGAACAGGATAGGACAGGACAGGACAGGACAGGATAGGATAGGATAGGACATGATAGGATAGGACAGGACAGGACAGGATAGGATATGATAGGATAGGATAGGACAGGATAGGATAGGATAGGATAGGACAGGATACGGTAGGATAGAACAGGACAGGATAGGATAGGACAGGATAGGATAGGATAGGACAGGACAGGATAGGATAGGACAGGACAGGACAGGACAGGACAGGATAGGATAGGATAGGATAGAACAGGACAGGATAGGATAGGATAGGATAGGACAGGACAGGATAGGATAGGATAGGATAGGACAGGACAGGATAGGATAGCATACGATAGGATAGGACAGGAGAGATAGGATAGGATAGGATAGGACAGGACAGGACAGGATAGGATAGGATAGGACAGGACAGGACAGGATAGGACACGACAGGACAGTATAGGATAGGATAGGACAGGATAGGACAGGACAGGATAGGATAGGACAGGACAGGACAGGATATGCGCCACTGAGCAACATTCAAAGGGATAAACGGAGATCCGCCTCCAACATTGTATCCAGTTCTTTTTTTACATCCAATATCTAGCTAGCTAGTGCTAACTTACAAAATGGACATGCTTTTGAAAAGGAAAAGACCTGATGAACAGGCCAACAGTAATGTCTTAATATTATTATTTAAAGTTATTGTGCATTGATAAAAGTTTTTTGGGCATTATTTTGATGGTATTGTCAATGGGATTTTAAAGACATCTTGCAGGAGGGGGGCCCAGGTCTAAGCTAATGCTCTTTGAGAGGCCTTGGAAAGGGGACATGGAAAAGTTTGGGATCCCCAGTTTTAGGAGAGAATAAATGTAATTTTCTAGCTTGTCTGAATAAAGCGACATGGAACATTGACATAACAGACACCTGTGTCTCCATGACAAACAGCCATCACTTTAACAGACTGGTGAAGACAGCGCTGTTACGTTTTCCATGTCTGAAAAGGACTTTTGAATCTCACAGATATTCAAGCAGAGCACAGCTACTCTTTAAGTGAAGACTCCGCCCCCCAGAGCCCAGCCCTGTCAATCAAAATGGACCACGAGTCTGGTAGGTCATCCTATTCATTATAAAATAAAAAAAAAAAGCATAGTTCATGCTACCTGGAAACATGTACAGCCAACCACAACTGTGCTGCTGATGTTTAGTCTGGTTCTTTATCATGCTGGCTGTCCCCCCTGGTTATCTGGTTGGCTCTCTGCCTGAGTGATGTAATACTTAACATGCAGTTTGACCCTGGCTGCTGTCTGTCAAATGCTATACACTCTGATTGGCTGAATCCACTGTCTGTCATATGACATGTGTGATGATAATCTGTAATCCATTATATTGAATGTAAGAGGTGCCTGTAGGAACAAGTGTTTACCGCAGCACATTATAAAGTACTGCATATTTCTGTCTTTCTCTCTGACTCATCTTTCTCATTATCTCCTCATGTCTTCTTCTCTGTCTGAGTCTCTGCCCGTCTGTGCCTGTCTCTCTCACTCTGTCTGTCTGTCTGTCTGCATGCTCTCCGTTTGTCCCGGGGATCCTGCTGTCTGAGCAGCAGGATCCCAGTCTGAGCAGTTTTCCTCCAGCTAAGCCCTGCCCACCTAACACACACACACTCACACACACACATGGACTCACACAACGCTATGACAAGCATATGGTTTTGAGTCTGCAGCTTTAGCCGAAGCCAGCGGAAACTCTCTTTCTCTCCTCTGTCAGGTTATCTCTTTTTCTCTCTCTCACTTGCTCTCCTGTTTTCTATCTTTCTCTCCTCTTTCTCCCTTAATCCAATTAAATCTGCTTTATTGGTATGGATATCAAATTACCTGGACTGCCAAAATACCACACTGAGCAAAAAAGAAAAAGTCTAGCTCACATCTAAAAACAGCTGACTGTGTTTCCAGTTCAGTGCTGTGAACTGTGAGTTAGAGTCACTCCAATCTATCCAAACTGAACATGTATGCTTTGGTTACAATGTAAATGTACACTCATGCCAAGACAAACAGGACGTTATAAAAACTAAACTGACGTATGAAACCACTAACTATCAACATAATATATTACCTCATAAAATTAAACATTTACACAGCTTTGATTCTGAGGTCAGTTACTGTTTATCTATATATACATATTTCTCTCGTTCATTGCCTCTGTCTGTAGCTGCATAACTGTCATCTCAAGCTCACATATGGAACACACACACACACACACACACACACACACACACACACACACACACACATATCGTATATATTTGAATCTACTCCAGCCTGTGTGATATTGAACTTAATCCAAAATACATTTCACAACCTGTGCCTGCTCCATAAAGCCTCACTATAGACTTTGGGATACTTATTTTCCACTAGCGTTAAATCTCTGCTTGAGTGCCTGTACTGTACAAACAGACCATAACATTTAACATCTATTTTCACTAACATGTAGTCTGAGCACCATTTATATCACATTTGAGAGACGTGATATACAGCAAACTTTCAATGTTTTACACACTGACTGTCATAATACAACCCTGTCACCTCGAAATTGCGTTTATATACAACTAATGTGAAACAGCAAATAGGTTTTGAGGGAAACATAATGCCGAAAAAAATATGTTTACTATTAAGAAAATTAGGAAATGTTGCAAATCTGAATTTTGACTGAAATTGTATTTCTGTTATCAGCATAATGTTAAGTGACAATGTATTTGACTTATTTTCCACCCATATAGGCAATCTTACAATACAGCAGGCCTACACACTACAGCCCTTTTTAAATAGGAATTGTGCAAATTTGCAGGAAAGCCCAATCAGTCTTCTTTCAGCATTGGCAGTATAAAAACAAAATTGGGGAGTGCAGCAAAATGCCGCCAGCCTACTTTTGTTTATACAGAATGTGCCTTTTTCAGGGCAATGGGGGGCGTGAGAAAGTAACATAACGTGTAGCTCAGCGTTGGACATAAACAGTGACGTACTCCGAGGGAAGCCGCGGCTGGTCAGTCCTTCGGCAATTCTCTCATAAACTGGCCCATCTTTCACCATTCTCGTCACTTGACGGTTAATGGCCTCTTCGTTTGCGAGGACAAGGAGGGTGCGCAATTCTTTGTCTCCCCAGTTGCTCATCTTTACAGCCTCTGTCAGGTTTGCGTTTCCCTCTCGCTACTAGTTGCTCATTCCTGCTGTTTCCTGTTTATCCACCGCCAGTGGCTCGCACTTGCGGTGTCATCAACAGACTCCTCCCACAAGTCATCAACAGCCCCTCCCATGGCGGAACGGCGCCTCGTTATTTTTAAACCAAAAATGTTCCGCCAATATGTCTACCCTACAAGGTGGAAAATTGGGCACCTCGGATCAACTCGCCAATCCGGCTCTGTGTGTCTAAACAGCCGCAGCTTGCCGGCAAAACGGCCCAACGTTCGCCAAAAATCTGGCAGTGTAAAAGGGGCTATAGTGTATACAGCATTACTGTTTTTATGACCTTTTTTTTTTATTAACATTTAACCGAAATCACGACCTGTCTCTAACCTGATCAAAGTGCTTTTGTTGACTAAACCTAAGACAAGAGTTGGGACGCAAACTCAAAGTTCTGGAGTCAAGGTCCTGTGCTTTGTACATTTTCTTTCTTAAAAAAAACTTGGAACTAATTTAAGGTAAAATCGTGAGTGATCAGTCTGTAACCTTGTGGAACGTTGAGACTTGTAGTCAAGAAGACAGCAGGTGAACTGAGGGTTCAAATTGTGTCAAAGTTTGTCAGATACGAAGAATGAAATTTCCAATAATGACAGAATGATGTTATGTTTACTGAGGTCTAAAGGGAGTAACTTCAGTTACAGAACTTTCTTCTTCCTCCCAGAAAATCATGAACATTTACAGTGATTGCATCCTTTATAGTCGACACCCTGTCCCAACATATGAGAGAATATTTGAACCTAATCTTGGTCACGATAACATTGCCACAATGACGTAATTACATAAGAAAGCAGTTTAGGAACATACAAACATAATTTTTAGGAGATGGGGTTGCATTATAACCTTTTTTAATTGCAAATTGATACAAACATAATCTTCTCTGCTTGTATATGTCGAGGTCTTAAGCATCATAAGGTCTTCTGTAGGGATGAATGTTCCTGTGATTTGATTATTAATACTTCCTGGGAAGATATCATTCTTTTACAATATTGTGAAGTTTGATTTGTAACAAAGAATAGCAGATTATTCATCACATATATGTGTATTTTTTTTTACCATATTCTTTCATATTTGTTAGATTTTGTGTTAGGTTTTTTTCATAGTACTGTTCAAGTATCTTAAAATTGGGGAGAGAAGAGTTTTACTGCATGCAGCAGTGGTGAAGTCTTTATTCTTTCTGTGATTTTAAGAGCCTTGTTCCTGGACTTTATTTGTGACACTGGGGAGATCATCTTCACTTGATGATCCACCTGTTGAATGCTGCTCTGAACCCCCCACTTGCTGCATAGTTTTCATTTTCAGATTTAAACCACACAAATTTTGTCCACATTTCTTCTGAAACAGCTGGACTGTTAGCTGCCATTTTGGCATGAAAAATATTTTGACAGGACTGCTGCAGCAGAGAAGTTGATCCAGTCCTTAATGGCATTTCAAGGTTGGACTTGGAAGCAGTGGAAGTGCTCAGCTACAATAATTGCAGCGTTAATGAGATTTGGAGAGGGCAGCTATGTTTCAGTGTATGTACAATATATGCTAATGCACAGGCACACATGGGGAAAAGGCAGAAGCTTCTGGCATGAATTGTCCATAAATACTGGGATCTCAGTTCCCAGTATTCAACCCTAATCTCCAGTGAAGCATCGTGGAGGCGTGAGAGGAACACTCTGGATCCTTGTGCCTTTTCACAGACGTTCTCAGCATCCAGTCAGAGCAGCACAATAGAGGCAGCTGCTTGTTTGTCTTGATGAGTCAGGTTAATTAGCCACCTGGGGAGGTTCAGAAGTAGTCGACCTTTCAGAGAGAGTTTTGTCGGAATTTGCGGTTCGTAGTGTGTTCTCTTGGACAACAACACAGAAAGCAATTATAAGATGGTATGTTGAGCAGTGGATGTGCCCGTATACCAATTACCATACACGGATTACAGATCAAATTTGATTGATCCGACACCAGTCATAAAATGTTTTAAGGGAAACTGCCAGATAAGAGTGAGACTGCACAAGCTGCCACTTTTGCCTCAGCTCCTAAATATAACTCACATTAGAGTTTGAATTACAGAAGTCTCAAGTGTCTTCCATGAAAGCAACAGATGCTTGCGGGGGATTAAAAATTGATAATTATTTTTTGTTTGGTTATTTAACAGGGAAAACAGACAGTCATCAACTGTCCCAGAGTATACGACGGTTCATATGATATCTTACGAAAATGCACCTACAGTGATTTGTCCGATATTTAATGAAGAAGCGCCCCATAATTGACAGTACATATTTAATGTAAGGTAAAGTACTTACTGTTAAGTTATGTTCATTAGGTTTAGGCAACTAAAGTTACAACGTACCTTAAAATAACCTCAAAGTAAGGCTGTGCAATTAATCGTCTGGTGATCTGATTACGATTTTGAGGTCAAACGATTTCAAAATTAATGAAATCGAAGGTAAACGATTTTTGGTAGCCTAATTTTCCGTCGCGGATGCCGGGAGATTTTATTTTGTCATCAACAAAATATCAAAATATCAACAACCACTGCCAGTTATAACTCACACACTTCGGTGGTCGACTGAGACAGGCCCTAACATCAAACTAAAAGCACTGAGGACTTCTGAGGTTATCAGAGAGTTTATTTAAAAAGATTGTTTACAACTGTATTACCAACCTAGACCGAACTGCCTGCCGCTGCCATCTTGGAAAGTCAATACACGTGGAATGACGAGCGTGACGTAACGTGATCTGAAGTCTGTGGAAGGTCTCCGGGTTGTACTTTTTCATCTTCTTCCCACAGCCGGGATAAGCACACACACGAACCATTTTGCCTGTCTGTGATGATCCGTCCACTCGTCGCTCCCCTGTCGCTCGCACTAACTGTCATCCAATCTTGTT